CCCTATCCAACTGACTCAACTAACCCTTTTCTTTCCTTTTTGGCTCTCGGCCCACCAGGTTTGTCTCTGTGTCTGTGCTCATTTCTGTCTCCGCACCATCCATCACCTCCCCCCATCTCACCCATCACCATCGCAGGTGGCTCCATTGTGGGCCGGGGGCTGCTCAGCCTTGGCAGACCGGACGCAGGCACCCTCGCTGGGGGGGTGCAGGGCGGGCAACTCTGCGGTAAGTGGGCTCTGCCCTCAGGGAAGAAGGGCCAGGAGCTCCCCACATCTATTTTGGAAGCACAGAGCTTTTCCGGGAAAGAAAAGTGCCTTTGTTGGAAAGGATACGGGATGAGACTCTCAAAGATGCCCGGACGCTGAGCTAAGGAGGATGGGGTCATGCGGGGGAGCAGCAGCAGTTGCTCCCAAACCCTCTCGTCTGCACAACCCAAACCCTTGCCCCGGCTGAGGCAGCGTGAGACCCAGTCAGCTGGGCAGAGCGGAGCAGGCAGGAAGGCAGGGGGTGGAGAGCAGGGGGAGAGAGAAATCGTCTCCTCCCATAGCTGTCGAGTGTTTTCCCCGTTTAGCCTTTGGGGAGAGGCAGGAGGGCAAGCGCAGCGGAGGGTGCAGCAGTCGGCGGGTGCAGACCGGTGTGCCGAGGGTCCTCAGTGGGGGGGCGCAGGCACAGCCTGTGACTCCCATCTTTTTGGGGTTCCCAGGAGCTGTGCAGATCAAAACCCCCCTCAACCGGGAACTGGTGGCCACCTACGAGGTCACCATCTCCGTCCACGACAATGCCAGCGAAGTCATCGACCGCTCGGTCAGCGTGCCCAATGGTAAGCGTGGGCTGCTGCCAGGCAGCGTGGGGCCAGGGCTGGCAGCTGCCGGGGGCTGGCACAGCCTTTCCCAGGCACCAGCGCGGCTTCTGGGTAGCCAGCAGCTCTCCCACCTCCCTCTCCATCCTGACCAGCAACATTTCCAGCAGCAGTAGTCCTGGACCAGCTCCCAGCAGGTTCAGGTTCTGCTCTGACCCCTTCCTTAGCGAACAGCCCAAACATCCCAGGGCTGCACTGGGGATGGAGAGGACCGTGTGCCCATAACCGCACCATGGGAGTCACCCGTTAGCATCCCATCACTTCTTGCCACCTTGCTCCTGGTAAATCCAGGCCCATGTGTGAGAAGGAACACACAGATCAGGAGTAGATCTGAAGTAGGTGAGACTGTCCCACAGTCTGCTCAGGGCAAAGCGGCTTTGCTGAATATTGCCGTTTTTCTTGATGAACCAGCTCCATTTAGTTGGCTTTCCTGGAGTTTCATGCTGGTACCTTTACAACCCTGCTTTCTTCCACCCTTCCTTCCCTTCTCTTTCTCACTTGTCCTCTTCCTCTTCTCTTCCCCTGTGGTCTCCACCACAGCCAAGCTGACAGTCAACGTCTTGGATGTCAATGACAACACGCCCCGCTTCCGCCCCTTCGGGGTCACCTATTTCACCGAGAGGATCCTGGAGGGAGCCACGCAGGGCACCACGCTCATCTCCATCTCAGCGGTGGACCCGGACAAAGGTGCCAATGGGCAGATTCCCTACGCACTGCTGACCCTCTCCCCGGAAGGGGGAGGCCCCCCCCTGCCTCGAAGACCCATCGGCAGGTCGGTGGCCTGGGGAAGTGGGAGTCTGGAGCAGGTCGGTGGCCTGCATCAGGTTTCTCATTTCAGGGTCTGTCATCTTCTAGGAAAGGTTGTGGCCAACAGGACAGTGGACTACGAAGAGGTGCAGTGGCTGAACTTCACCATCCGAGCTTCCGACAACGGCTCTCCCCGCAGATCCGCTGAGATCCCTGTGTACCTCCAGATAGTGGACATCAATGACAATAATCCCGTTTTCAGCCAACCGTCCTACCAGGTGAGCTGGGCTCCCCCACCCAAGTCTGTGTGGGGCTGGGCAGTGCATGCCCAGAAAGGACGGGCACAGAGCTGGGGGTTCTCCAGGGACACCTGCTCTTCCCTCTGTCTGTGCTTGAACCATCTGAAGAAGATGCTCAACCCACCAGTGTACTCTGTGTGAACATCTTGTTCTGGGTCCAGCTGTGCCCACCCCTGGGTGCCACCCTGCACCCTTGGTTTCTGCCCGCTAAAACAGCAAGTGATGCAGCAACTGGTCCTACCTGCTCCCTTTGCTTGCAGAAAGCTGTCTTTGAGGACGTGCCATTGGGTACGATCATCCTGAGGGTCAAGGCCACGGATGCAGATTCTGGACGTTTTGCTCTCATCCAGTACAGCCTGGGGGATGGAGAGGGCAAGTTTGGGATAAATCCCAACACGGTAAGGACCCAACCAAGGCTGGAACAGAGGGGGAAAAGGGAGAGGAGGCTAAGCTGGTCCCACCTTGTGTCTTGCTCCCACATCTCACCTTCTGCCCCCTCTTGAGTACCAGCTCTGCCAGACAAGATCCACATGAAGGTCTCTGTGTGCTGCAGGGTGACATCTACATCCTGTCAGCCCTGGACCGGGAGAAGAAGGATCACTACACACTGACAGCCGTGGCCAGGGATAACCCCGGGGACGTCTCCAGTAACCGGCGGGAGAACTCTGTGCAGGTAGGGCTCTCCTCCTCCCACCACCCCTCGTGTGGTGGTCCCCGGGCAAGAAGGTGTTAAACCTCAGGCTTTCCTCCGCAGCAGGCTTGCTGGTGGCTCTGGGGAGGAATTAGGCAGAAGGAAGAGCAGATGTCCCCAGCGGCTGTGGGGTGGACGGTGCTGGGGACTTTGTGTCGTGGGGACGGTGCGTCGGCAGGAGGGGACGGAGCAGGAGGGGCAGGGGAGGGCGATGCTATTGTCTGCAAGTGCTCCGGCGTGAATGGGTGCCCCGGCCGCGGCAGCCCCCATTGTTGGAGGCAGGAATTGGGCTAGCAGAGTTAAACGAATAGCAGGAAGGGCACCGCGCTCCTGCAGCAGAGCCGCAGGTCACGGCAGGGGGACAGCCACCGAGGGCTGCCCAGCCGTCTCCAGCCTCACGTCACCCAGCCCGCTGTGCTTTGTTGAAGGTGCTGATCACAGTCCTGGACATCAATGACTTCAGACCACAGTTCAGCAAGAGCCAGTTCAGCACCAGCGTCTACGAGAATGAGCCAGCGGGGACGTCGGTGATCACTATGACCGCCACTGACCTGGACGAAGGGGACAACGGCGTGGTGACTTACAGCATCGAGGGCCCTGGAGCGGGTAGGTGCCAGCCATGGAAGACGCCTACCATGAAGAGCAATTTGAGGAGATGTAGGGACCAAGCCTACACCCCGTATCCTGCAGATGATTTGGCAATTTGACTCCCGGGAGCAATACCAAAAGCAATACCAAAAGCGTGGAGCTCCACACTTTCGGTATTGCTCCACAGTTCGGAGTTCCTCATGGTGTGGCATGTTATGACTGCCTGCCTTCATCCTGCAGCCCAGCCTTGGCTTTTCCTCTTGTCTCCCCCACCCCAGCAGGACTTTCTATGTACACAAGTGTGTCTTGGAGCAAACTCACCTCACACTTCAGAGGAAAGCTAAGAAGAGCTAGGAAGTTGTAGGTGGATAGTGATAGTGCCTGAAAGAAGTAATGGGAACCGAGCAAAAGCCAGCATAAATGTAGAGGGAAATGGCAGAAAGTTCATTTTCCTGACAGCCATGGGCTTCTCTGACCACTGCCCTGTGCTGGCCGGTGTAGCTGGCCTGGGCAGCAGTAAAACACAGCCGGGGTGGCCTGGGAGCAGGGCCATTGTCATTGCCCAGTGACGGGGTGTCAGCAGCAGGCAGGGATGCTCAGAAATGGCACCCCGAGAGCATCTGCATCCCTGGCCTCACACAGCTGGCTCTGCTCCATCACCCCATCACAGAGATTTCCCACCAGTGAGGCATGTGCTTCAGCTGGTATACTGGTTTCTAATTGTAATTTATCCGGTGCCAAGTGTCCTGAGCCAGAGACGTGGGGGGGTTTTCTGCCCCCAGAGGCTTTCAAGATCAATAAAGATTCTGGGCTCGTCACATCCCGGCGCCGCTTGCAGTCCTATGAGAGGTTCAACCTGACCGTGGTGGCCACGGACAAGGGGCACCCCCCTCTCTGGGGGACCACCATGCTCCACGTGGAGGTCATCGACATCAATGACAACCGGCCTGTCTTCATCCGCCCACCCAATGGCACCATCCTGCACATCAAGGAGGTAAAAACCCTTGAGAGAGAGTGGGGGGGTCATGCCATGCCAAGACCTTGCCGTGGAGTGCTCCTGCCTTCCGGTGGCAAAAATCCAATCTCCATCTCTACCGGGGATCAAAACAAGACCTTGATTTAACACACAGCAAGAAAGTTTGGGTCATGGGGCTGGACGTCAAGAACAGCCCCTCTCCGTACGTGAGAGCGGGGATGCTGGCGCAGCTTTGGGGAACAGAAACCCCAGCAGCATGCAAAATAAGGAAACGGGTGTGCCAAGCCTGCTTATAAACAAAGGCTGAAACACTGACATTTAAGATGATTCTCCTTTCTGGGAAGCCAGGCTTGGCTCAGACAGTCTCCAGCGTACACATGGAGCAGCTACCCCACCAAAGGGAATTATGGCTCTGTGTCACCAGCTCCCAGTTGTTTTTTGGGCAGCCGGAGCTTGCTGACCCTGAAACAAAGTGTTTTGGAGGGGCAGGGGGGGCAGGAGGCTTGTATGCAATGCTGGGACTGAGGGGCTGTGCATGTGCAAGCAGGAGATCCCCCTGCGGTCCAACGTCTACGAGGTCTACGCCATGGACAAAGACGAGGGCCTCAACGGAGCGGTGCTCTACAACCTGCTGAAAACCGGGGCAGGGAACAAAGACTGGGAGTATTTCAGCATCGACTCGGTCAGCGGGCTTATCCAGACAGCCATGCGGCTGGACCGGGAGAAGCAGGCGGTATACAACGTGAGCCAGGGAGCAAGCACGCCCGTGGGGTGGCCGGGACGGTCCTTGAGCCTGCGGGTCCGGTGCGGGGCTGGCAGGATGCTAGTGACTTGGTGGGGATGGGGTCAGCTGCCACAGTTGTGAAGATGACACACCTTAGCAGGAACTGGGTGGTTATCAAGTGCCGTTGGGGAATTGCATCCTGGTGGGTCAGCTCCCAATTCCCTGTTAAATCCCCCCACCGAATCCTCCACCACCCAGCCGTCCCCTCTGTCCCTGCCTCAGCGATGTCTCCTGGCCCGCCTGGCTTTGCCCAGGACAGCGCTTTTACCTCTCTCCCCAGCTGATCATCGTGGCCTGTGACCAGGGCCAGCCAGCCTACGAGACCATGCAGCCCCTCCAGGTCGCACTTGATGACATCGATGACAACGAGCCTGTCTTCCTCAGGCCACCTGTAAGGCACCGGGATGAGGGGGACTGGACACAGTGTGTGTGTGTGTGTGTGTGTGTGTGTGTGTAGGGATGGGGATGCTGGTGAGCATGAGTGATGGAGCTGAGCATCACTGTGGCACGGAGCATGATGGGATTTGTCCGCTTTTAGTCTTTCAAAGCAAAAAAAACCCCACCTCAATGCTCATAACCCTCCCTTCTCCTGGGTTCTCCGGCAGAGGGACAGTCCCCAGTACCAGGCGCTCTCCGTCCCTGAGCACTCACGGCCAGGCACCGTGGTGGGGAACATCACCGGGGCAGTGGACGCAGATGAGGGCTCCAACGCCATTGTCTACTACTTCATAGCAGGTGGCTACAGAGCGGGGAGGGGATGGGCAGCTCTGCATCCCCCTGCACATCCCTCGCCAAGGGTTTGAGTCCCTCCTGTCATCTCCTCGTTGCCTTACTACCCTGGCAACAGGCAAGGTGGCATCTCAGAAGGGCCAAGCCCAAAGGGGACTAATTGGGGTCCCCTTTCTGCACCCAGCTGGGAATCGAGAAAGCAACTTCCAGCTGAGCCGGGAGGGCAAGCTGCAGGTCTTGCGAGACCTGGACCGGGAGAAGGAGCCGTACTACTCCATCATTGTCAAAGCGTCCAGCCAGAGGAACTGGTCCCCTCCCCGGGGCCAGCGGGCAGGCAGAGCCCAGCCCTGGGACCTCAGCGGGGACCTGACCCTTCAGGAGGTGCGGATCTTCCTGGATGACATCAATGATCAGTCCCCTCAGTTCACCAAGTCAGAGTACACGGCGGGTAAGGGGTGTCGGCGGCTGGGGCTACCCGGAGCCAGAGATGCTCCAAGGAAAATCCAGCCAGGGGGAGGGATTGCAAGAGCCAGCCCAGCCCCAGGTCTCTGTCCCATTTCTCTCTCAAAGGGGTTGCCACCGATGCCAAGGTGGGATCGGAGCTGATTAAGGTGGTCGCGGTGGATGCCGACGTGGGCAATAACAGCCTGGTCCTGTATAACATCTTGGGCATCCGCTACATCAAGCAGCACTCCAATGACTCTGAGGAGGTGGCCAACATCTTCAGCATCGGTGTGTACCCCGCATGCCGCAGGAGCACAGTGCCATGGCCAAAGATATACCCATGGCCAGGGTCAATAATCCTGGGCTTGTGACCATCCTTCCCCCAGGAACCCTTGATGGGATCCTGCGAACCTTTGACCTCTTCACTGCCTACAACCCTGGCTACTTCGTGGTGGACATCATGGCTTCTGACCTGGTAGGCCACAACGACACAGCCATTGTGGGGATTTACATCCTGCGGGATGACCAGCGTGTCAAAATCATCATCAATGAGATCCCAGACAAGGTCAGGCAGTTTGAGGAGGAGTTCATCAGCCTGCTCTCCAACATCACGGGTGCCACTGTCAACACGGATGACGTGCAGGTAACCATCCACCTTTGAGGTTGCTTCGAGGGGTAGGTAGCCTTCCACATGCTGCTTGGGAGGTCTCCTTTAAGGTTGCCCTGTCTGTGCAAACCATAGACACCCCTGAGCTCTAAAGGTGATGGATATACCCCAGAGTGGGGTGTATTGAAGGGGTCCAGACCAACCCCATGCCAGACTTGAGGGTGTCTTGCCAGGCAAGTGCACCTCGGGGCACGCTCGGGAGATGCCCTGGGAAGAGACACCTCTTCCACACTGCAGACCTTGCTGTATCTCCCCAGTTCCATGTTGACAAGAAAGGGCGGGTGAACTTTGCGCAGACAGAGCTGCTGATCCACGTGGTGAACAAGGAGACCAACCGCATCCTGGACGTGGAGCGGTATGCCACCTGGCCCATCACCCAGCCCAGTGTCTGGCCCGTTGAGTCCTCGGGGAGCCTCATTAACGTCAGGATGCCCAAACATCCCTTCTCTTCCCAGGGTGATTCAGATGATAGATGAAAACAAGGAGCAGCTGAGGAACCTCTTCAGGAACTACAATGTGCTGGATGTGCAGCCTGCCATCACCGCCCGGGCCCCAGATGACCTCTCGGCTCTGCAGGTAATGGCCCAGCTGGGGCTGGAGATGGCCGCTGCTTGCAGGTGGGGTGGTGTCCCTTCCCCTTCTCCATGGCCCTCCATGGCCTGGAGAGAGGTTTCACCCAAATAATTTTGGATGGGTGTCCACCACCGGCTGCTGACTCAGTGCTAGAGGTTGTCACTACCCCTCTGTCTCTCCCAGATGGCAATCATCGTGCTGGCCGTCCTGCTCTTCCTGGCTGCCATGCTCTTCATCCTCATGAACTGGTACTACCGGACAGTGTGAGTAACGCTCGGGCTCTGCCTTGCTGGCCACCATGTCCCCACGGGCCAGGGGACCAGTGTGGCAGTGTCAGCAAGCAAAGGAGGGCATCAACATCCCACAGCCTACTGCGGTGGGGGTCAGCCTGGGCTCAGATATTGCCCCTCTTCCCCCAAAATATCATCGTTTCAATGATATTGCCTCTCCCCGCCAAGCTCACTGTCCTTATAGCTACGGGAGCTGTTTGCAGCGTTATTGTGAATCTGTGTCCCCCCTCTCCTTTCGAGCATCTTCCATATTTCCTTCCCTGACTTGCTGTATTTCTTTCGCAGACACAAAAGGAAATTGAAAGCCATAGTGGCTGGCTCCACCGGTGAGCAGCGTTTGGGGTTTTCCAGCTGCGTGAGAAGGCAGGGTGCATGAACAGCACGGAGGGGGTACACGGGGAGATACGGGGGATGTTAGCGGGCTGTAAATTGCAAGCGAGCCTGCCCAGCAAGGTGCAATGGTGGGAGGTTTGTGAGGTGGGAGGAGCACCCAGGCTCCACATTACCAGCCCCATGCCCAGTGTCTTTCTTATGTCACTGGTGCCTTTTCGGTCACCGAGTTTCCCTCCCCAATAAAGAAGTGCCACCCCGTGCCCGCAGCCAGGCTGGCTTGCTGCTCAGCCCACCGGCGTGCCGCCCTGTAACCCCTGCCTTTTGCAGGCAACAGAGGCTTCATGGACATCATGGACATGCCCAACACCAACAAGTATTCCTTCGATGGGTGAGTTCTCCCCTGCACTCCCCTCCCCGGTTTGCTACCTTGTGGGACCGCGGGCTGCTCCCAAGAGAGGGACGCCTGGGTTTTGGAGCCGGGGTGCACAGAAGGTGGAGATGCGATGCTTCTGTGCTCTGCGGAGGGCTGCAGCCGGGCGTGCAGTGCAGGGCATGACTCTGGCCCTGGCACACGTGCTTGCCTCTGAGGGCTTTCAAAGCCAAAAGACCTTGTGCTTTCTCCTGTGACTCCATCTCTGCCGATACGTGGGGCAAGCAGAGATGACGGGCAGGTACCAACACACATCTGGATTCAGAGCAGCCAATTTCATGTCTGCACAGGGCAGGAGGAGGCGGTGCAACCTCGGCATCCCGGCTCTGGGTGGGGTTAGGGATGCTGCTGGGTTCTCAGCTGCTCTTTCCTTGCGCTGAGGGCTGCTCCTCTGCCCCGGGCAGGGCCAACCCGGTGTGGCTGGACCCCTTCTGCCGGAATATGGAGCTGGCGGCGCAGGCGGAGCACGAGGATGACCTGCCGGAGAACCTGAGCGAGATCACCGACCTCTGGAACAGCCCTGCCCGCACCCATGTGAGCCACGGCCCCCGCCGAGATACCTCCTCCCCGCGCCCGACGCCCGCGCCGCCTCCTCAGCCTCTCTCCTCTTCCGCAGGGGACCTTCGGGAGAGAGCCCTCTGCGGCCAAGCCCGAGGACGACCGCTACCTGCGGGCAGCCATCCAGGAGTACGACAACATTGCCAAGCTGGGGCAGATCATGCGGGAGGGACCCATCAAGGTGAGTGATGAGTGCGAGCATCTTCCACCAAGGGGTCTTCTACCGCTCTGGCTTCCAGGTTCATGGCTGGGGCACC